AGGGCGGCATTTAGAACTAGGTACACCGTGATGCGATTCGGGTCATTCGAGTACACCGTGATGCCATTCGGGCTGACCAACGTACCGGCGACATTTCAGATGACCATGAATGAGGCGTTTAGGCCGCTCTTAGATAAATGTGTGATAATTTACCTCGACGACATCCTAGTCTACAGTCGTGATAAGCAGCAGCACTTAGCAGATCTTGAAGCAGTGTTTAAAGTTTTAGACGAGCACAGACTACTGACCAAGGGTTCCAAGTGCGAGTTCTTCCAGGATATGTTAGAATTTTTTGGGCACGTTATTTCGGAGGTTGGAGTTGAGATCGACCCAAAGAAGCTGGACACGGTGAAAGTGTGGCACCCCCCGACGAACATCACGGAGCTGCAGAGTTTTTTAAGGTTCGTTAATTATGTGCGTCGGTTCGTCCCCGACATGGCACGCTTAACTGCCCAGCTGACGGATTTACTGCGGAAGGGGGTCGCTTTTACGTGGGGGGAGAAAGAGCATGCTGACTTCTCTGCCCTGAAAATGTTCTCTCTTCACCGCCCGTACTGCGCATCGCCGACCCACACCGCCCATTCGAAGTGGTTACAGACGCAAGCGACATCGCCATTGGAGCCGTACTGCTACAGGATTTCGGCAACGGTTTACAGCCCATCGCATACGAGTCACGAAAACTGCATCCGCCCGAGAAGAATTACCCAATACATGACCGCGAAATGCTCGCGATCATGCATGCGTTCAAAGTGTGGCGCTGTTACTTGACCGGCGCAGACGTGACCGTACGGACAGACCACAAATCACTACAGTACCTACGCGCAAAACCCCACCTCAACCCACGACAGATCCGCTGGCTAGATTTCCTCGAGTCAAATTTCCACTACACGGTCACCTACAAAAAAGGAGCATCGAACATTGCCGACGCACTGACCCGCCCCACTGCCCAAATCCACGCCATACTACTCGCCTAGACCAGCCTGCTACTAACAGGACTATTTACCCACGGCTATCAAGCCGACCCGTTCTTCACAGGTGGAAATTCGCAGCAGCAAAGGGGGTTTATTACGTAAAATCCAACACCGACCGCATCTGGGTACCAGGCTACACCTTACTAAGGGAGCTATTACTACAGGAGGCACACGACAGGGTTACCTCAGGACATTCCCGGGTAGAAAAATCACGACAGCAGCTGCAGCGGTATTACTACTGGCACGAAATGCTGACCGACGTGCAACGACACGTGGCATCGTGTCCCACCTGCCAACTCACGAAGTCATCACGGAAACAATTGGCAGGGCAGTTGCAGCCGATACCACCCCCAGAGCGTGCTTGGCAGTAGGTGACGATGGACTTCGTCACGGGGTTACCGGCTGGAGCAAGTGGGAACGACGCGATCCTGGTCGTCGTTGATCGGCTGACGAAAATGGCACATTTCGCAGGCTGCAAAAAATCAATCACAGCCGAAGAAACAGCCCGCCTCTTCATCTCCACCGTCGTTCGACTACACGAGATACCAGGATCATGTTGGAATCTAGAGTAAATTAGGGTGAGGAGCCATAACTTGAGTGGCTAAACATGAGTGTCGAGAGAGTGATGTCGATTAGGTGAGGAGGGGGGGGTACAAGAGTGTCGAGTAAATCTAGGTGTACCCTCTAGGGATAACCCCTACACAACCTAGAAACATATAAACATATAAATGTTTTGACACACCTGTTAGAATCAGGAACGGAATGAATGAACTAGGAAGCAGGTGGGTACAAGTAGGAAACCTAAAAGTGTTGTACCCTATAAGAACTACCCCACTACAGCCTAAACAGACTATAGCATATAAGTTTGACACACCCCCATAGGCAAAGTGGGGGAGAACAAGAGGTCACAAGAACAGTCAAGAAAGGCAAAGCAAGCTCAGGGTGGATCACAAAGTCACCACGCAGTCTGAACACAAGCAAATGGCCACAAGGCTTGTTCACATGCAGAGTTATATAAAAAAAAAAAAAACAATACAGTGAACACAACCTAGCAAGTGTAAGCATGCAGGTATATGTATATACAGTACAGTACAAGCAGAGTCAAGAAGTAAGCAAGTGAGGTACAGTAGGTACAAGGCCTAGAACAGTACAGAAACGCTGATGATCACCAGGCTGAAGTGCCTTGGTGAAAACATCAGCAGTGTTGGCCTGTGAGGCCACGTAAGTGAGACGAAGCTGGCCACGCTGCTGCAACTCTCGAGCAAGGAAGTAGCGCAGAGCAATGTGCTTCGTTCTGTGCTCCAGTCTGTGCTCCTGACACAAGGCCAGCATGGCCTTGTTGTCCACGTACAGAACTAGAGGAGAACGAGGCGCCTCTCCCAAGTCGGTCAGCAGGTAGGTGAGCCAGCGTAACTTCTGTGCAGCCATGGCCCCAGTGTAGATCTCAGCCTCACAACTGGAGCTGAGAACAGAAGAAGAGCGGGTAGACCGCCAAGAGACAGAACCGGAACCAAGACTGAAGGTGTAACCCTGTGACGACCGCTGCGTAGCCAAGTCGTCAACCCAGGAAGCGTCTGCGTGACCAGTGAGGACAACTCGAGCCCGTCCTCCAAGCACGAGCCCCATGCACGACGTACTACACTGGTAGTGCAACACCCTCTTCGCAGCATCCCAGTGCACCTTTCGGTGTCGACCGGGAGCCACGTAGCGAGCCAGAAGGCTGAGAGGGTATGCGAGGTCAGGTCGTGTGCAAGTCATCAGGTACATGAGGCAGCCCACAAGCTCTGGATACGGGCCACTCGGCTCTACGGACGCTTCCGAAGGTGGAGCTGAGAGCGAGTGACCGGTAGGCAGAGGAGTGGACTGTGGCGAGGAGTACGTGAAGCCGAAGCGCTGAAGGACCTGCTGCACCATGTGTGACTGAGTCAAGGTAATGGTGCGCTGTGCTCTGTCCCGGGTGATCCGCAAGCCAAGATAGCTTGTCAGTTCACCCAGGTCTATGCACGTGTGTCTCTTCTGCAGCTCGGACTTCACGTGGGCGAGTGCCTCAGTGTCAGCAGTAGCAAAGACGAGGTCGTCTACGTACGCGAGAACGTAGAACGGCGGCAGAGTGGTGTCAGTGCGTAAAAACAGTGAAGGGTCAGCAGTGGAAGGAGCAAAACCAAGAGTAGCAAGAGTCGTCCTCAGTGTGTCGTGCCACTCATGGGGTGTCTGGCGGAGACCGTAGACTGGCCGCCGGAGGCTCCACTGGGTACCAGTAGGAAACGACCCAGTGAAGCCAGGTGGGCGGCGCAGCCAGATCTCCTCGTGCAGGCTGCCCAGTAGGAAGGCTGTGCTGAAGTCAAGCGAGTGGAGCTCGTAGTCACGCTGAGCAGCTACGTGCAGCAGTACCCGAAGAGTGGTCATCTTCAGGGTGGGGGAGAAGGTCTGGAAGAAGTCAACTCCCTGTCGCTGACTGAAGCCACGTGCAACGTAACACGCCTTGAAGACAGGCGGAGAACCCGGCGGCCGCTTCACCCTGAAGATCCACATGCCACTGACGATGTTCACCCCAGGCGGGGGAACCTCGTCGACGTAGGTGCCTGTGGACTTCCAGGAAGCCATCTCGGTGTCCATGGCTGCCTGCCACTGAGAGGAGTAGGGACCCTCTATCGCCTCTGCGTAAGAGCGCGGGGTCGGGATGTCTGGTGCATCCGGGTCTCCCTCAGGGGCAAGCAGCATGGACACGAGATGAGGTACAGCAGCGGCAAAGCACTCAAACTCCTCCTGTCTGTCCTCAAGAACGTCCGTGCCAAGAGCACACTCACCCCCGACGGACGGAGGACAGACAGACGCAGACGCAGACTCAGCAACAAGACTACTGGCGTAATCTAGGCGACAGGCTGCAGCAAAGTCAACTAGCTCAGCAACGAGAGCAGACGCAGCAGTGGACTCAAACAAAGGGTCAGTGACAGCAGTGGCCAGGAAGCGCGTGACAGTAGGACTAGCAGCACGAAGGGAGTCAGACTCCGGGTCCGGACCGTTAGGAAGAGAGGACGCAGGAGGAGAGGGCAGAGGGACACGGTGTGGAGCAGTGGAAGGACGCAGTGGAATCAGGAACGGAATGAATGAACTAGGAAGCAGGTGGGTACAAGTAGGAAACCTAAAAGTGTTGTACCCTATAAGAACTACCCCACTACAGCCTAAACAGACTATAGCATATAAGTTTGACAACACCCCCATAGGTGAAGGAGGGGATAGCCAAACAGAATAGCACTCATAAGACTGTTAGAATGCTAAGCTGCTGCAGCTATGTCACCCACCACCCACATCCCCTGAGCCTCCCCACCACTTCACACTCCCCCCCACAGCAGCAGGTGCGGCTGTGAGAGAGAGGAGGCAGGTTGGCGCTGGAGATGCAACCTCCCCCTCACACCCTCCCCTCCCCTCCCCTCCCCTCCCCTCCCCTCCCCTCCCCTCACTCCAACTACTGCACGTGCAGCAGGGAGAGGGCGGAGAAAGGGGGGGGGAGGGGGGGGGGGGGAGCGGGGTAGAGGCTGCGCAGGGGCTGCAGATGCGTGTGCAGAGGGCAGCAGGGCGCACGGGGCGCACAAGACAGCAGGGCGCGCGTGGCGTGCAGGGCTACAGGGTGCGCGGGGCGTGCAGGACAGCAGAAAGGGCTGTAGCGGCCGCAGCAAGGACTGTAGCGGCAGCAGCAAGGGCTGTAGCGGCAGCAGCAAGGGCTGTAGCGGCAACAGCAAAGGGCTGTAGCGGCAGCAGCAAGGGCTGTAGCGGCAACAGCAAGGGCTGTAGCGGCAGCAGCAGGGCAGCAGGGCAGCAGAGCGCGTGGGGCGCAGCAGGGCAGCAGGACGCGCGGGGCACGCGGGGTACACAGGGCAGCAGGGCGCGCAGGGCTGCAGATCCCCTCCTGCCTCCCCCTGAACCTCCAAGTTCCCCCCCCCTCCCAACACAAAGTGCAGCAGGGAGAGAGAGAGGAGAAGGGGGGGGGGGGGGCTGATGCTGCAAATCCCCCCCCCCACTGTTGCTCCACTATCCGTCAGGGGGGACGGGGGAGGTTGGTGTTGCAGATCCCCTCCCCCCCACTGCTGCACCCGCAGCAAGGGGAGGTAGGAGAAGGGGGGGGCGGGGGGGGCTGGTGCTGCAGATTCCCTCCCCCCCACTGCTGCTCCACAATCCTTCACCCGCCAGGGATGGAGGAGAAAGGGGGGGCGGGGGGGGCTGGTGCTGCATATCCCCTCCTGCCTCCCCCTGAATCTCCAAGCTCCTCCCCTCCTCCCAACACAAGGTGCGGCAGGGAGAGAGAGAGAGGAGAAGGGGGGGCGGGGGGGGGCTGATGCTGCAAATCCCCTCCCTCACTGCTGCTCCACTATCCGTCACCCCCCAAAAAGTAAGGAGAAGGGGGGGGGGGAGGGGGGGGGGTTGGTGCTGCAGATCCCCTCCCCCCCACTGCTGCACACGCAGCAGGGGGAGGTAGGAGAAGGGGGGGGCGGGGGGGGCTGGTGCTGCAGATCCCCTCCCCCCCACTGCTGCTCCACAATCCTTCACCCCCCAGGGATGGAGGAGAAAGGGGGGGTGGGGGGGGCTGGTGCTGCAGATCCCCTCCTGCCTCCCCCTGAACCTCCAAGCTCCCTCCCCTCTCCCAACACAAGGTGCGGCAGGGAGAGAGAGAGGAGGAGGCGTGGCGGCAGCTGCTGCTGCTGAGGCACATCCGCCACCCCCTCACACCCTCTCCCCCCCGTCCCCATGGAGGGGGGGGAGGGGGGGGAGGGGGGCGGGGGCGGAGCTGCGCGTGCGACTGCAGGGCACGTGGGCAGGAAGTCGTCACCCCTATTGCCACCCCCTTACCCTCCATGATGCAACGGGGCACCGGGGCCGCGGCTAGGGGCGGGGCCGGGCGCGGGCTAGGTACGGGGCCGGGCGCTGGGCTAGGGACCGGGCCGGGCACGGGCTAGGTACGGGGCCGGGCGCTGGGCGAGGGACGGGGCTGGGCGCTAGGCTAGGGACGGGGCCGGGCGCGGGCTAGGTACGGGGCCGGGCGCTGGGCGAGAAAGAGGGCCGGGCGCTGGGCAGGAACGGGGCCGGGTGCTGGGCAGGTACGGGGCCGGGCGCTGGGCAGGTACGGGGCCGGGCGCTGGGCGCTGAACTGGGGCCGGGCGCGGGGCTAGGTACGGGGCCGGGCGCGGGGCTAGGTACGGGGCCGGGCGCGGGCTAGGTACGGGGCCGGGCGCTGGGCTAGGAACGGGGCCGGGCGCTGGGCAGGTACGGGGCCGGACGCTAGGCAGTTACGGGGCCGGGCGCGGGCTAGGTACGGGGCCGGGCGCTGGGCTAGGAACGGGGCCGGGCGCTGGGCAGGTACGGGGCCGGGCGCTGGGCAGGTACGGGGCCGGGCGCTGGGCGCTGAACTGGGGCCGGGCGCGGGGCTAGGTACGGGGCGGGCGCGGGCTAGGTACGGGGCCGGGCGTTGGGCTAGGAATGGGGCCGGGTGCTGGGCAGGTACGGGGCCGGGCGCTGGGCAGGTACGGGGCCGGGCGCTGGGCGCTGAACTGGGGCCGGGCGCGGGCTAGGTACGGGGCCGGGCGCTGGGCGAGGGATGAGGCCGGGCGCTGGGCAGGTACGGGGCTGGGCGCTGGGCGCTGAACTGGGGCCGGGCGCGGGCTAGGTACGGGGCCGGGCGCGGGGCTAGGAACGGGCCGATCGCGGGCTAGGTACGGGCCGATCGCGGGCTAGGTACGGGCCGGGCACGGGCGAGAGACGGGGCCGGGCGCGGGCTAGGTACGGGCCGGTCGCGGGCTAGGTACGGGCCGGTCGCGGGCTAGGTACGTGCCGATCGCGGGCTAGGTACTGGCCGGGCGCGAGGCTAGGAACGGGGCCGGGCGACGGGGCCAACGAGGCTGTGAGCGACGGGGCCTAGGGGCCGAGCCTAGGGGCTAGGGGCGACGCCAAGGGGCGACAGGCTAGGGCCTAGGCTAGCAGGGCATTAGGTGGTGGGCCCATTAATGTTAGGTCCTAGAAATTATTGCTCTTAATACCATGTTGGAATCCTAGCATGTCTTAGGAGCCATAGCTAGTGAGAGTCGAGAGAGTTGAGTGTCGAGAGGATTGAGTGTCGAGAGAATTGGAAAGGAGAATGAGGGGTTTCACTATAGAAAGTTGGGATACAAATAGCAAACCCTAAATTGGGTTGTACTCACTACAGAGTACCCCACTGCAGGCTAAACAGCAAATATATTCTGACACACCCCCATAGTCAAAGTGGGGTATAATCAGCAGAGCAAGCAGTCATAGAGCAGGTTCACAAGTACAAGCAAAGCTAGAGGCATTCACAAAGGGCAAGTGAGGAGGAGGCTGGACTGTAAGAGGAGAGTAGATAGGAGGCGACGGCTGATGCTGCAGACACACGGGCAACAGGAGCGGCGCGCACTGTGGCTACCAGAGCCGTATCCCCGGACTACAGGAGTAACTGGCTCTGCGGCTAACTCTGAGCGGCAGGAGCAACGGACCCACAGGCGACAGGCACAGCAGGCTCTCTGAGCTACCAGAAGCAGAGCCCCGGACTACAAGTGCTGCGGACGACAAGACGGCAGCCTCCGCTCAACCTCCCCCAACTGTCCCACCCCCCTTTCACACACCCCTTGCTGCACCCCTAGCTCCACTCCCACATCACCCCCCTAGCACCACTCCCTCGGCTCCCACACACCCACCCCCCTCAGCGGCAGCTGCAGCAGTGGGAGACGGAGGAGGAGGAGGAGAAGGGGACGGTTCACACACCCGCCACCCCCATACCCTCCCCCACTGCTGCACCTGCAGCAGGGGATGGAGGAGAAGGGGGGGGGGGGCTGGTGCTGCGGATCCCCTCCCCCCCACTGCTGCACCCGCATCAGGGGGAGGTAGAAGAAGGGGGGGGGGGGGGCCTGGTGCTGCAGATCCCCTCCCCCCTTCTGATACTATGTTGGAATCTAGAGTAAATTAGGGTGAGGAGCCGTGGCTTGAGTGGCTAGACACGAGTGTCGAGAGAGTGATGTCGATTAGGTGAGGAGGGGGGGGTACAAAAGTGTCGAGTAAATCTAGTTGTACCCTCTAGGGATAACCCCTACACAACCTAGAAACATATAAACATATAAATGTTTTGACACATCAATCATCAGCGACCGCGATACGAAGTTCACCAGCAACTTCTGGCTAAAACAAATGGCAACAGTTCGGCACGCGACTACAGTTCAGTTCTTCATACCACCCCGAGACCGACGGACAGACAGAACAGACAAACTAGACCATGGAGCATCTCATCCGAGCCACGTGCGACGACCCGACCACCTGGGAATAGCAGCCGCCACTCATCGAGTTCGCGTACAACAACACGCGCGCAACAGTTCGTAAAAATTTCACAAGCAGCACGGACCCGAGCAGCAGACGCAATAAAAAAATCGATCATCATCGCTAAGCGTAACGCCGACCGCCACCGCCGACCCATCACTTACCAGCCCGACGAACTCGTGCTACTCGATACTCAAAACCTCTGCCTGCCCATCACCCCAAAACTCCGCCCCCGATATTGCGGGCCATTTTGCATCAGCCACATGATCACACCTGTCACCGTCCACCTCCTCCTCCCTGCTGACTGGTACGTCAGCCCGTCATTCCACGTCAGCCTGCTTCGCCCATACGTGCCATCCACCAGCCAACTGCCTCGCAAGCACCCCGCCAGCATGACACGACCGCCGACAGAACCAATCATCACGCCCGAAAAAATACTGAGCCACCGAGTACGTGACCCACGGGGAGCCCGCAGGATCGAATTCCTGATCCGCTGGAAAGACCGCACGCCCACCGAAGACAACTGGGTTCCCCTGGATAGAATTGAGAATCACCCTGTTCTCACTTACTATCTGCGCAGTCGAAATTTTCGAGATGTACACGCACTCTGGTAAGGAGGGCCTCCTTGGGGAGGGGGGTAATGTAAGGGAAATTCCTTTTCCTTACTTCGCGCCCCTGCTTACCGCGTACAAGACCATTCCCGCCATCGGCACCCAAACAGTGAAACGTTATCTGCTCGCGACACTCGCCTCGACTACGACTCCCGCCCAGGGACGTCGATATGATACGAAATTCGTCTGATGGTATGAAAATCAAACTCGTTTTTTAGTATTCATCTGAATTTGCAGACAGTGAATTATTTTTCATCTGAATCACTAGATGTGCTAAATTTATCCGTCTGATTTTTCAGACGAGCTTGTACAGCTTGTTTGAATTCACTGACAATGAGGATTATTTCGTATGAGGCCAACGATATCCCCCACTAGGCCGCGTGTAAATTTGCGGAGGGGTGCATTCACAAACGCGCCAAAATGTTATTTGACGCGTCAAAATGTCAACTCTGACGCGTCAAATTGTTAACTCTGACGCGTCAAAATGTTCTCTGACGCGTCAAAAGGTCCACTCTAACGCATCTAATGGTTCTCTGACACATCGACATATTCTCTGACTGACACACAGGCACATTTGCTGCTGAGGGGGAGATTCTCTCCGCTCTCACAGCCTTCCACCAGCAGGCCAACATGTGAGAATTTAACGAGAAGAATGATGAAACTAGAAAACGAGATGGGTACAAGTAGGAAACACAAAGTGTTGTACCCTCTAAGAACTACCCCACTACAGCCTAAACAGACTATAGCATATTTAACTTTGACACACCCCCATAGGCAAATTGGGGGAGAACAAGGGGTCATAAGACCAGTCAAGAAGGTAAAGCAAGCTCAGGGTGGATCACAAAGTCACCACGCAGTCTGAGCACAAGCAAAGGGCCACAAGGCCAGTTCACATGCAGATTTATATAAAGGAAAGCAAACAATATAGTGAACACAACCTAGTAAGTGTAAGCATGCAGGTATAAGTATGTAGAGTACAATACAAGCAGAATCAAGAAGTCAACAAGTGAGGCACAGTGGGTACAAGGCCTAACACAGTACAGAAACGCTGATGATCACAAGGCTGAAGTGCCTTGGTGAAAACATCAGCAGTGTTGGCCCGAGAGGCCACGTAGGCAAGACGAAGCTGGCCGCGCTGCTGCAACTCTCGAGCAAGGAAGTAGCGCAGAGCAATGTGCTTCGTTCTGTGCTCCGGTCTGTGCTCCTGACACAAGGCCAGCATGGCCTTGTTGTCGACGTACAGAACTGGAGGAGAACGAGGCGCCTCTCCCAAGTCGGTCAGCAGGTAGGTGAGCCAGCGTAGCTCCTGTGCAGCCATGGCCCCAGCGTAGATCTCAGCCTCACAACTGGAGCTGAGAACAGAAGAAGAACGGGTAGACCGCCAAGAGACCAAACCGGAGCCAAGACTGAAGGTGTAACCCTGTGACGATCACTGCGTAGTAAAGTCGTCAACCCAGGAGGCGTCTGCGTGACCAGTGAGGACAACTCAAGCCCGTCCTCCAAGCACGAGCCCCATGCCCGATGTACTGCACAAGTATCGCAACACCCTCTTCGCAGCATCCCAGTGCACCTTTCGGTGCCTGCCGGGAGCCACGTAACGAGCCAGAAGGCTGAGAGGGTATGCGAGGTCAGGTCGTGTGCAAGTCATCAGGTACATGAGGCAGCCCACAAGCTCTAGATACGGGCCACTCGGCTCTACGGACTCGTCCGAAGGTGGAGCTGAGAGCGAGTGACCGGTAGGCAGAGGAGTGGACTGTGGCGAGGAGTACGTGAAGCCGAAGCAGTGAAGGACCTGCTGCACCATGTGTGACTGAGTCAAGGTAATGGTGCGCTGTGCTCTGTCCCGGGTGATCCGCAAGCCAAGATAGCTTGTCAGCTCACCCAGGTCTATGCACGTGTGTCTCTTCTGCAGCTCGGACTTCACGTG